AAAAAAGTACTCCAGAGTGTTGTTCAGCATGGGGGTGAGTAGAAAATGAAGGCTAATCATGTTTTGGGTGTACTATTCCTTTAAATCCTCCAAGTGGTCAGATAGATACAGTAGTGGCTTTACCAAAGAAAATGGAGGTAATGTTGTCAGTTTTACTTTTGAGGTTAAAATTTTCAACATGTTAAAATGAGTGAATTCTTGTAAATAAGAGAGCACAGTAAAATGTAATAGCTAATAATGTTACTACTCATAATGATAATGGTATGGAAGCTGCATCAACTCTGCAGCAGTTGTGCAGAGTAAAAGGCAAGTAAAAGTTGCAGCACTAAGGGGGCAGAGTTTTCTAAAATATTAAAAAAAGGAGGGCAATCTGGCTTATCGTCCAATATGCAGCAAGGAAGGACCAGGGTTGATTTCTTCTATCTCATGTCTCCCTTAACCATTAAAATAAACAAGAGATGATTGTTAGGAGGCGGTGCAACATCAAAAGATCCAGACCTTGTAGAAAAAATGGGTCCACAATAACAATTTTAAAGAGTTTTTTGCCTAATCATGAATGCAATAAACATAATAATCAAGAGTTAATGTTGGTCATAATTTTGGAGAAAAAGATCTTTGTTTATTCCTGAAACAATTTGTTACAACATCAATTGATGTCTTACACCCCAGAGCCTCTTCCTGCTGTTTTTCCTTCATCCTGTTTCATTATTTTCTCATCCTGCGGTTGAAAAGTTGACACATAACTTTAACCGAGCAGTCAGACAGGGATTCTGTGTGGGGAATTGGGGCAGCGCTCTCCCAAAAGCAAAAAAAAAAAAAGGCTAAATAAAAGCATGCTGAAGATCAAAGCCGAGCTGTTTATTACAGAGACAAATGAGTTTTAATCTAATAAGCCTCAAAAACAGCACTGTGATGAATAATGATGGAAAACAAAGTGAATCAAACAATGTGGCCACCCTTTGTTTGAAGATGTTCAAGGAGAGTATTGGTTTGAAACAAAAATTAGATTAAACTAAAGAGAGGGGGAAAAGAAAGGTAGAATAAAGGAGAAGGAACAGCTAAAGGTTGGACAAAAGGTCAAGAAGAAGGATGAAATGACAGAATGGGGAGTGAATAAAAAGGAAAAGGGATGCAGGGGAAGAGAAAGAAAGAGAGGTGACAGTGATTGATGGTGACATTCTTCAGGTCTTTGAGGAAATGAATGTTTAATGCAGTGACGTTTGCAGCACTGCCTCGTTATTGTAAATAATTCATCCACAACAAACAGCGACGGGCTCCGTGAGCTCCCTCAAGCTCTGCAACATTCGGCAAAACTTATTAGCCATAGCTCTATGATTGTCTAGTTTTATATGTGCTGTTTCTGTGCCTGAGCTGCTGGCCTTTTTTAAATCAGGAGTGCAGTGGGAGTCGACAAGAATATCATCTCCTCTCATCCCTGCAAAAACAGGCAGATGTAAAACACCAGCGTAAGAGCTCTTAAACTCACAGGCTTACACAAACCGATATGTGCACACCAGCAAAAACCGTCAAGGTCTCACACATGCACTGAAGCCCACTTTCACCCAACGTATGCTCTGATGTTTCACCCACACATGAAGCTTTTTCCCTGATAACCAGCTCCCACTACAGCCGATGGAGCTCTACATGACTGGATACGAGTGCCTCACAGGCCTGGGGAGGGAAATAATAACAGGTACTGAAAGGGAGTGATTGATAAAGAGCTGCAGTACTGAAATAAAATGGGATTAAGGTGAGGAAGGAGCCGCTGAAGGAGGCAGGCACCAGGAAGATTTAAGGAAGACGAGACGGAGAGAAGCAAATGAGAAACGGCTGGAGAGAGGCGGAAATGGAAGCTGTCAGCAAAGGCGAAAGAAGGACATCGGAAGGGAAGCCAGAATGAGGAGGAAGAAAAAAAACACAAAGACATTGAAGAGAGATGGGTGAGAGAACAGCAGAGCAGGAGAAATAAAAGTGTGATTTAAGTTAATGGCATGTCACTGACTGACTGCTTTATTTCTGTCTTTATAGGCCTGTGTAGGGCATTATCACATAGCGAGAGTGTGTTAGACTGCGGGCTTGTCTTCATGTCTATGAGCAGGAATGTAATGTCTGTTAGCAGATATGTTAGGATATAAAACTGTAGAAAATACATTTTCCTGCAGCACAACATTTTTTTTTGTGCAGATGTTTTCCTCTATCTATAAATCCCTGTCACTCATTTAAACAAGGTGAACCTGGTAATATTTTGCATTAAGTGTCCTGCAAAGCTATTTCTTACTTTTAAACGTTTTCTCGCTTTATCACATTATGACAACACATTTCAAAATGTTATTTTAGGGATTGTATGCAATAGTTTAACACAAAAGAAGGCAAAACTATGAGGTTTAACCATTAATTACACATATTTTTCAATTCGGCCCATCAGAAATTACGTTTTGCATATATACATCTACACCAATTTTGAAAATTAGATGCCTTTGCAAAATACTTTGGCCATTAAATATGAATGGAAAGTATAAAAAGTATTTTAAATCTTGCCAAAGATTGTTATTTGGATTTAAGTTTGGACTTCTACTAAGCCATGTAGCAAATTAATACACTTTGAACTACCTTTTTGTTTCAAATGTGAATAAACGTTGGTTAACACTGTAACAAAAACAACGTCTAATTTTCTATACTGTGTTCTGCACTGATTAAAAATGTTAAGTTGTTGGGAGGTTTGAAGAGGACCAAAATGCAGAGACAGAAGATAAAGTGGTTTCTTGCAGATTTAATAATGCAAAAGGTGGCAAGTGAGGGTAAAATCCAAAAACGTATCAAAATACAGAAAACCAAAAACCAGAAGACGTCAGGCAAAACGCACAACGATCAAAAAACAACAAGGAACCAGCAAAGAGTGACTGAAGAGGAGGAGTATATATCTCAAACAGAATAAAGCCGGGGTAATGAACTGATTGGGAGCAGGTGTGGACAGAAGAAACTAGAAGGGAGCTAGGGGAAGGAGACTGACACAAGAGGGCAATAGAGGGTAAACAGGAAATGCATAGAACTGAAATATAAACAGACCACAAAATGGAAATGAAACATGAAAACTCAAAAAGAAAACTTAAATACAACCTAAAAGTACAAAACCATGACAAAAAAAAGTACTGGCTAACTTTTAAGAACAATAAAAAAGTGTCAATTGAGATCTTTGTTTCCTTATGGTGAAACTGCAAAGGTGCACATATAATCTATTTATTGTTGACACATTCTCCAACCTAGGTTATGATACTCTGCAGCTATTTCATAGATGATATAAGCCTCTGGCTGCTTTTCTAAAAAAAAAACAAAAAAAAAAACTGTCAGTTTGGCTGAACATGTTCTTTCCATGTGCTATAATGTTTTAGTGGATGGATTGACTAAGGGTTCTTAAAAATGTTTAAAGATGAAAATGCTTTTAAAACTAATGTAAATTGTCTTAGGATGATGATTGTCCTCTAATGTTCTCTATTCAAGAGTTTTTCAACCACTGTCATCCACTACCCTGCTAGTTTTAGATCTTCTTTTTCTTTCACTCACCTAATTCAGAAGAGTGCATGTTAACAACGTCTGGTAAACTGTTGAGCTGAAGCTGGGAACCTTCTAGGCGCACATCAGCAGCCTTGAGGAGCAATGTAGAAAAAACAGCTCTACTGAACCTGTGGAGCTTTAACCGTCAGTTCGTACTTAAACTACACATAATCCAATTGGTTGGCTTAGATTTCATCCAGGGGGCTTGGATTAAATGGGTCTAAATCAGGGGTCACCAACATGGTGCCCACGGGCACCAGGTAGCCCCCAAGGACCATATGTGGTGCCCTCAAGCCTGTTCTAAAACTAGCACAACCTTCCAGTGAGCTGCCTCTAAAAGGTTATTTTAGTCTGTTGCTCTACTTCTGTAATCACACTAACACTTCTACAGATTTAAAAATGAGAATATTTAAATTAAATAAAGCATTGCAAATATGTTTATTGGTAAGCGCTGAACCTTGTAGTTCAAAGGTCAGTATTGTTAGCCCCTTCACGTGACGCGGTACCGATGAAGTAGCTCTCAGTTTAAAAAAGGTTAGGGACCCCTGGTCTAAATCAACATGTGTTGTTTAGATATCTGTTGGTGAAAAACATAACAACTGCATATGTAACAGCATTTCCATAAAGTTTTGCACAACTTTATGTTGGTTTTTGTGTTTGTGATGTAAAAAATAGGCAAAAAAGGTTAAGGGATATGAGAACTTTTGCAAGTTTTAGCTCCTTAGCTCCACTACTGAAAGCTCAATGAATGGAAAATAGGCAAATTAAATCTGTTGGCTAATACATTTTTGACGTGATCTCAAGAAACAAAATAGTGCAAAACATAAGGTGATGTATATTGCAATTTGAGGCATTAAAATATACTAAAAATACAAAAGAGCGCAGATAGGATAGCTGAATATAGATATACATACATAGATGTATATTCTACCATTCTTGTCATATTGTTTTGGTGCGATTGTGATTTGTGTGGGTGCTGAAATAGCCCTCCTGGATAAAAGCATATCTGTCCCCCTAAATGGCCGCAACAATGGCACCAGGGAGAGGCCCTAACCTAATAATAATACAGCGGAGCGGAGAGACACACGCACACGGAAGGGTCCAGTCATGACTTAAAATCCTATCTTTCACAGTTTTTCGACACACACACAAACACAGACAGCATAATTAAGTTTTATCTATTTATAGTATCGAGCTGATTATGCTGGTTGAAATCGTGTTTGTTTGCCAGAGCTACAGATGAAAGCTGAGAGCCTGTTACTCTCTGATGTTATCACCCACACATGACACTCTAGTATTATTCTATTAGGACCAAGTGTGTCTCTATGTGTGTGTGAGAGAGATATATGAGTGGGAGTCGGAGAAGGAGGATATGGATATGAAAGAGCGAGGGCAAGAGTGTGAGTGCACAGGAGTGGGTGTGTTATGGAAGAAAAAAAAAGATTAAAGTATGAACTGAATTTTCATTAGATTATACACGTGAGAAGAAATAGAACATTTCTTTCACTGTCCCTTTGTTGTTTTCCAGTAAATGTTTTCTATGGAAGCTATTTTATCTTTGACCCAACCTTTTCCCACCTAAACTGTGTCTTATGTGTTATTACAAGAATCTCAAAAGGAGACATATTTCAGTTTTTTTAATAAGTCTTTATGCTTGATCAAATTCTATCATTGTTCTTCTCTTGCATCATGTCAAGCATAGAGATTTTGTTAATAGTATTATATTTCATTTATATTGGAATTAAGGATAGAAAATTGTTGGCTCCCCTGTAAATGGAAAAAAAATGAAAAAAGGAGCTTACTTTTTCTCTCTCTTTTTGTATCTTTTCAATAATTATTCATTGCCTGACCATCAAGGAAGGGCTAGGCCTGTGATTGCACCCAAGTGGTCCACAAATATATGCTTTTTCTACATCAGCTTTTAAAATTTCTAAAGATAAAGGAACACTAAACACAGAGTGCTAGCTTAATAAAGTCAATATGCAAAAAACAGTGCAATGATCTTCCTCTGTCAATGTATCTAACAAAAACTCAAGCTGTAAGGAAATGGTAGAAATAAACATAGTCATAACTTAAATATGCATACATTATATACCTATCTAAATCTAGAAATGTAAAGCTAGAGCAGCTTACAGTATATAATTTTAGTTGAGTGAATCATTGTGCAGACGAAGCACAATTATGAACATTAAACAATATTATTGCTGGTTCATTGCTGTGACATTTAAGTTCATTTCAATAATGGCATATCTAGTGTGTGTTACTCGTACCACAGACTATTTTTCCATGTCCTAAATATATCTGCTGCAGTAAGGATTTCGCTGGAGAATCCCCTGAACAGACTTTGGATTGGATGTATAGGAAGGGAATCCTGTAGCAGTAATTAGTAAACGACACATTTCCTTAGATCTCATGGAAATGCCAAGCAGAGGAACAGTGGTGCATTACCTGTAATCTGACAGCCGTAGAGCTCGAAACGTAGAGATATACCGTTCTTCCACGACTGAGGTCTGATTCGCACGAAACGTGTGAGGACCGGCTGAGGGATCCTGTTGAGAACCACTTCTGTGGGATCAGTGTTGGCGTGGAATACCTGTGGATGAAAAATAAAAATAGCACATAGGTTAATACTAATATTACATTGTTACCCATGACCCAAGTATAGCAAGTTTTATTAAGTACAATTATTTGTTGGAGAGGTATAAAAACTGATGGTTATCCATACAGTTTTTGGAGACACACATCTCCTGGAAGGTCAGGTTGTGTGGACTGGTTAATGGCTTTTATGAGCACATTGTTCTTATGATTCAAAATGGAGTTTCCTATTTTAGCTTCCTTTGGCCTGTCGACTCAGTCATTTTTATGGGTGTGGTCGCCTTGCAGCGTCAGGATATATTTGAACTTCAAAACATACAGTTTTGAAAAATTTAAATAAATGAATTAAATCCTTGTTGCATAACTGAATTATTTTGTTATGGAATTCGAAAACATACAGATGGCAATCTGTTTTTTTTAGAGTGAGATTGATAGTTTTTATTCATTATTGCAGTTAGCACCTACTGCCTACAAATTAGCATTTATTTAGAGTACAGCTATAAAAAAAAGTGACATAAGTCTAATTTCCTATTCATGAGTAGTTCTCAATTAGGAGTCGTTTTAATCAAGAAAGGGGTGGGAATGAGGGGGTGGCATGAGTCGTATTTCAGTCAGAACCACAAAGAACTTTGACCCCCTGGGACTTTTTTTAAGGGAACTAAATAGATTATTTCTATCCTGTTTCTTCTTCATTTCCACTGTGGTTTAATGTCCAGCATTGATTAGTGAAATTAAATCAATGGAATGGAAGTGTCTCTCCTCGTTGCCATTCAGCTCTTACTGTATGGGTCACAGGAGTATGAATATTTTTTAAATACTTTACTACTACATGTTTTTGGATGCTTCTTTAAAACAGAGAACTGAATTAACATGATATTGAATCAGTTTAGGTATAGTTCTATTGATTTATTCCTTTAAATGATTTTCTGATTTCCTGTTGAAAAAGAAAAATATTGGTTGAATGAAACCAAATAAGATTGACTGTTCCCCCTGTGTATCCATAGGTTCTCTCCAGGTACTCTGACTTCCTCCCACAGTCCAAAAACATGACTGTTTGGTTAATTGGCATCTCTAAATTGTCCTTAGGTGAGTGTGTCTGTGTGTGCGTGGTTGTATTTCTTTATGCATCTCTGTGTTGCCCTGCAACAGACTGGTGACCTATCCAGGGTGTACCCAGCCTATCCTCCATAGACTGCTTGAGATAGGCACCAGCTACACCATGACCCTGAAGGAATAAGCAATAGAAGATGGATGGGTGGACGAATGGGTGGATGAAACCAAATTGAAAGCTAAATCCAACAGTGGGATGAATGTATTTAAGGTTTTTCTGTTCATGTGAAGGATAAGTTTCTTGTAAATGTGTAGAGAATGACTCGCAAACTTTAAATTGTGGCATTTTTGATTAGGTTATCTTTTCTGAAATAACGTATTGGTGTGTTTGGTATCCGTTATGTTGTAAAAGGCTTAGCACCTATAAACATACACTACCGTTCAAAAGTTTGGGGTCACATTGAAATGTCCTTATTTTTGAAGGAAAAGCACTGCGCTGTCCTCTGCAGGGAATAGTACACACCGTTTTAGGAAATCTTCAATTTTTTAGCAATTTCTCGCATGGAATAGCCTTCATTTCTAAGAACAAGAATAGACTGTCGACTTTCAGATGAAAGTTCTCTTTTTCTGGCCATTTTGAGGGTTTCATTGACCCCACAAATGTGATGCTACAGGAACTTCATCTGTTCAAAGGAAGGTCAGTTTTGTAACTTCTGTAATGAGCTAAACTGTTTTCAGATGTGTGAACATGATTGCACAAGGGTTTTCTAATCATCAATTAGCCTTCTGAGCCAATGAGCAAACACATTGTACCATTAGAACACTGGAGTGATAGTTGCTGGAAAAGGGCCTCTATACACCTATGTAGATATTGCACCAAAAACCAGACATTTACAGCTAGAATAGTCATTTACCACATTAGCAATGTATAGAGTGTATTTCTTTAATCTCTTACACCCTAAGGGGGTATAAATAAATTTCTGCCTGACAAAAACACACAAAAGTAAATAACTCATAGCCTCACAGCTATTAGATTTAAGAAGAAACTTTTGGTACCTCTGTAAAGGTAAGATGTCATAGAATGGTTTTCTGGTGTCAGCACCATTGTAGCTTTGACCCTGCCTGAAATATTAGGGACAAAATACAAAATATTTTGCATTTTTTTGAACCTCGCCAAAATTTTCTTTGAAATAAACATTGCAAAACACTACCAAAATATTATTTATAGCACAAAAAAGTAGTACAGACTTTTAAATCTAAATGTTGTGTAAAAATATACCAAATTTGGAGTCAATCAGATGAATCATATTTATTTTAGAATGGCATTAGTGAGAAATTTCTTAGGCGGAGAGGCCATTTTGGCACATTTATCCAAAAATGTCACCAAACTGTGCCAAATGTGTTTTTTACATCAATACTGGGGGTTTTACTGGAGGTCATGTAGCAGCTGGACCCACCGGTGGGTCCGTAGGGTTCTAGGGGTTAAAGTTCAGACTGGTTTAAAGTTATCTTCATTCAAAACTACAGTGCTTTTTCTTAAAAAATAAGGACATTTCAATGTGACCCCAAACTTTTGAACGGTAGTGTATTTTTCATTTCAAAATTCACATTTTTTAGATAACTAATTCAACAGAAACATAAATGATAAAATGACAGTATTTATTGTGTTTCCAAAATATATGCTTTTAATGACTGCTGTGTTTTCATATCACAAATCATTGGTATTCAAGGCTAATTAAACTGTGACCTTCAATAAAGGTTCACCATCTTGGAGACCACAGTTGTTTGCCTTCTTTTCAAGCTTGGCAGGATAACACCAATAGAATTCTCATGTCTTCGAGTTAAATATGAAAGCGATATCCAAATGTATTTGTTTAAAATAAATTAATAAATCAGTGAGCCATGAGATCACAGCTGTGCCAAAAATTACAGCTTTAGAAAAACAGGATTTTACATGAGTTACAGTGTTTCTGCTCACTTTATTAAACGCGCTACTTACAGTAAATACATAAAATGAATGGAGACTGTTGACAAAGGGAGGAATGAGCTCAAAGGTTTACTTCAACACTCCTGCGTACCCTCTGAGGGCACGCAGTGTGTGATAAATCAGATACATAAGTAGGTGGAGAGGAAGCCTCTTCTCACGTCCTCTTGACTCAACCACACACAGGCGGGGAAACAACTCTAATTCCTCACGCACACAGTGCAAAGATAAACACACTCTGTCACCCTTCAGGGCACTAACACACACTGCTGTGTGCACTACATCCAGACACAATGGCCTTGCTCACACACGGCTTTCTTTCCGTACAGTACGTGTTGCCGTCTGAGCTTCAGCACACAGTAAAACACACTCAAACATGCTTTCCTCTAAAAGTGCAAAAAAAAATACAGATAAAAAGGAAATTGAATGAAAGAACACATGACCAGAAGCACCCTTTTTTAGTTTCTTGACATCTCGATTTTGTATCTCTGTCTATCTGACAAAGTGTCAAGTCTTTCCCCTCGCTCTCTCTCTGGCAGCCATCTCTGCTGGAAAACACAGCTGGGCTTCTGCTTTACTGCCCTCAGCTCTGTCTGTCTCATTGACAACTCTATCTTCCTCCCTGCCTAGATGATTTACTACTGTAAATTTAAGTGGGGAAAAAGGCACCATTTTATGCAATGTTGCACTGCTTTGCAATAGTATTCCCATCATCTCCTGAAAGATTTTGCATTTCGTCATGTTACACAAACTTCAATATCTTTCATTGGGATTTTCTGTGCTGTGAATAAATGTTCCAATTATACATAGTTTTTTCTAATCGTAGACAAATTACAGTCAGGTTTCCTGATCAAAACATATTTTTTACATTTCGCACAGAATACTCAAATACTCGTACTCCTTGATGCCTTGCTAATTTGTTGTTCAGCTATTAAGCTGAGTAGGTGTGTGTGTTAATGTGTGACTTATGTGATGGACGTCCACAGAAACCAGTGCCAAGAGGAAAGAAAATTATATGTATTTTTTGGAGTGTGGCATACAGTTAGCTTTAAGCCTTGTCTTTTACTCTGCCAAACTAACACATGAGATCTGGGCCTTTACATTGTAGCTCTGGCTGTATGTTTTACTTAGATTAATTTTCCTGCAAGAAGGTAAACCGCAGCCCTCTGTGACCTGTTGCAGCTTTTCTTTCATGACTACTCTTTATTTAGCTTCATTCAATTACCAGGCATGCCCAAAGTTGGTCCTCGAGGGCCACCGTCCTGCAGGTTTTAGAGGATTCCCTGCGTCAGCACAGCTGATTTTCATTGATAGCTGATTAACAGGCTGCTGCTGAACTGTAATCATCAGAATCAGCTGTGCTAAAGCAGGGAAACCTGCATGACAGCAGTCCCTTGAGGACCATCTTTGGGCATGTCTGGTTACTAAATAATTTTAAGTTTTCCTGTCCTTTCTGACAAAAATATTTGTGCACCATAATGCTGCAACCTCATTGTTTTACAGTCTGTGCAGATTTAGATTTCCTCATCATGCACAATTTCCATGAGGGCTAGAATATTTAATTGTGATCTAGTCTGATCGAGGCACTTTTTTTGTAGTCGCAATGTGATTCGAAGAATCGAAAGATTCAAAAAAATGTTTTGCAAAGATGCTGTACAATTAAACTGATGACACAACCTAATGTGTTTATTACAGAAGAAAAAGGTGAGCTTTATTTAACTGAGCCAAAGGGCATTTAATTACTTGCTTGGTTACACATTCATAGGTGTTTTGGGGCTAGGCGCTTATGTGCATCTCTGTGTTCAGGATTTATTATTTTCCTCTTGTTCTCCATCAGTTAAACAACAGGACCCGTCAGTGGGGAGGAGAGATATGGATGAAGAGAGTCTCTGACTGCAGGGAACAGAAGCGAGCCACTGGGCCAGCTGGGAACTGAACCTGTGACCCAGTGGGTGAATGCAGCA